AAAAAAAAAAAAAAACCGAGCCGTAAGCCAATTGGCTCAGCTCGGCTCACGGCTTGTGAACAGTAACCCTAACTCACTCTTTTATATTTAGTTGGATAATAAGATTTTTAATGAATTTCAATAAAAGCTGATAAAATATATATTTGAAAAGTCGTTGATACGTTGAAATGTATAATTAAAATTAATTATTAACTATGATTTGAAATCAAAATCGATTTTAATCTATACCAAACAGGAAATTTTCACTCAAATTTGTCTAATTGGTCCACGAACTTGACGAGATTGATCACAGGTCTGAAAAGAAGGGAAAGCAGAAAGGGACGCTAATTCTGCCATATATCTCTCACCATAGTACTAGTGTGTAAATTTTAGCAGGAAAATTATCCATGTAGACAAAGTCACACTCATCTAATGACGGGTTCTTAGAAATATTTTGGTTTTCCACTCACCCTTTTTTCTTCATATTTTGAAAGTTATAATATTCCTAAAGATTGCCTCACTAATATATGCCAGATAAAAATAGATGCCAATGCAGAGAATGAAAAATAATACAAGTGGCAACTGTAAGGAAGGAAGAAAATAGAATTTTCCCAATCAAAGGAATAAAGTGTTCAGATCTACAAATGGGATGGGAATGTATTCCTCCCATAGAAATGGCCTGCTTGGCCAAGCTACACGAATTCAGCAAAAAGAGTCTCTCCACTTGAGTGAAAAATGACAGAACACCAACAGAAACAAAAAAAAAATGTCTAGAAGGGGAAATATACCTTAGTCAAAGATTAAGGTAGGGATCAAATTAAAGTGACAACCAAATCACCACTCTGAATTCCATGTACTTGTACTATTGGAATCTATTCACAGAACAATTTGGGAGCTCTGTACAAATTCCAGTTTGTGTTCAGGAAAGGCATGCCATCTTTTCATCATAAATACTGTTTGTCGTCTATAGAATTCAAAATTGTTGTGTGCACTGCCTCAAACTCCACTGCACTTTAAAATATTTCAAAAAGGAATGTCAAGCCTGCAGAAAAATCAAATCCTAGTCTTGAATCAAGCAAAATATAACATCAAATCTAATCATCAATCACTCAATATATTGAAACAAAAAAGTTCTCAGAAATGCTTCAAACAGCATTCGACTGCCATATAACACAATTATTTTTCCTATTTATGCTCTGCAAAAATCGGATAGTAAAAACACCAACATTATTTCCCAAATCAAATGTTCCACAGATCACTTCATACAACTTACCACGGAGTGGTATCACAAACGTCCAGTTGTCCAAATATCTTATTTAACGATTATGTAGAAATAAAATGGAAAATGCACTCAAGAAGGTAACAGCAGACTGAATGACGAGTGTCCACGGTGACACACAAAAGTTTTTGACAACAATCCTCAGAAACCAGAATGGAACAGATACAAAGTTTGAGCAACAATTAAAGCTCACAAGCTAATGGGTCTGACATCACAAAAAAATACAGCTCAGGAAAGTACAGATCGCCATAGAGGTAGGCCAACAACAATAATTCAGAAAAGCCATTTGCAAAATTTGGGATCCATATATAATCATGCCCACAAACAAAATAAATAAATAAATAAAAATCCAAGAAATATAAACTCATAGTGAACACAATAAAGACAATATGTAAAAGATAGCTAATATACCTAAAATCATAAGAAGTTGTTTGTCCAATTCACATGTCAACCATTGGTACTTTCAACATGATTACCATCTAAAAGCTCATTCACACAGAACTGATGCAGATTTTCATATATCGTCTTCCACTGCTGTATCATTTGCACAGATCCTTGCTGTTCAACTTTTAGCCTCTC